GAGATGAAAAAACGACGAATGGATTGGAAAGAGTGAGACAAAGAGATTTTGAGATGGGAGTGAGGTTAGGAACAATGGCTGCTCTCCACCTCTTTGCTCTGCCACTCCTGATCAGAGAAGGTCTTGGAAAAGTGGGAGAGAGATGAAAGATGAGAATGTGTGTGAGAAAGAGAGAGAGAGAGAGAAAGAAGATACACGGTCCTGAGGAGAATTTTAATTGATATCAACTCAAAGTCGCACACACTCAATTCCAAGAAGTAATTTCACAAATTGGTGTTGCTCTCTCTCTCTCTCTCTTTGTTTCTTTATATTTCTGTCTCTTTCCATCGCATTCACATCGCGTCTATCTCTCTCTCTCTCAAGATCGATCAAAGAGTGTATGAGGGAAAGAGTGAGAGAGATATGAAGAAAGGAACAAGGATGGTAGCGAACGTTCGAAAGCCCGGTAGCTGCGGCCGTTGCCGCGCAACGGCTTGTAATTATTATTCAATAGACATTGCGTCTTTTTAATTGGTTGTTATCGGATAATTGTCTTCTCTCTTTCTCTCGCACACACTCCCTCTACGAAAGGAACAAACGAAACCAGTCCGCGAGAAGTCATCTGTTTCACGGCCTACTGCTACTACCCTACCTGCAATATCTCATTCTCTCTATCTCACACACTTATTTCCAAATGAATTTCATCGTTGCATCTTTCTCTTTCTTCATGTGGATTAATTAATTTTATTGGTGGTAGTAATTGCCGATCGCCAAAAGAAAACGCGCGATAAAAGTGGGAAAAGGTGATCGAAATTCAACTCACGTTTATCATCAACTCATCTCTCTCTCTTCGTCTTTCCTACATTCCCATCATCCCCCCTTCGAAACAACAGCAACAACAACAACAAAAAAAACAAAAGCCGATTGTGGAAATTGTTGCTAATGCGTCGGGATTTTTGAGATTACTTCGATCCCCGACGCAACTGAAACGAAACAAAACAAAACAAAAAAAAACAATTGAAAAGAAAAAACAAAATGAGAAGAGTCGATAAAAAGGCGCGCAGCGCATCGCTAATTTTCTACAAGGAAACCAAAACTGTTATTCGATGCAAGATATTTTTATCGCGCTTTTAACTTCTTTCTCTCCGACCGTCTGCGTGTACATATCTTTCTTTCTTTCTTTCTTTCTGCTTCTTTAAGAGATGATTTTATTGCGCCGCGGTTAATTAACACGTTTCGGCGATTAAATATAAATCCGTCTCTCCGTTCTGATGACAAATAAAAATACCTACTTCTTCAGACTTTTATAAACTCTCTCTTTCTCTCTCTGTCTATATACCTTCTCCTCTTTTCTTTCGTTTAGTTGGATCTTGGACATGGAACGATCTTTTTTAGAAGGTGGTTGAATTATCAGAAGACATAATTTTAACACGATTTACCAGAAGAAGTTACGTCAATTTCAAATACATTTTTAAGCAATTTTTTGAGTGTGTTAAATGTTAGAATTAGTGCGGATTGAGACTTGAAAAGAATTTTGAAAATATTTCAATTTTTAACAAAGTTACACGTGATAAATCATTTTAACAAAATTTACCAGAAGAAATTTAGAGAATTTTCAAATAAATTTGAATCAATTTTTTGAAAGCATTTAATGTCAGTATTAGTATAGATTTAGAAATGAAAAGAATTATGAAAATATTTCAACTTTTAACAAAGTTACAGAAGTTATAATGAATTAATCTTTTTTTAATGATTTTGCTATCTTCATATTAATTTTTATCCAATTTTTCGAATACGTTTATTAGTGAAATTAGTATAGTTTAAGAAATTAAGGGAATTATGTAAATATCTTGTTTTGGAGATAATTAGAAACGATAAACGAAAACTATAATTTTAACATAATTTACCAGAAGGAATTTCGGAGATTTCAAAAGAAGTTTTAATTAAATTTTTAAGTGAGTTTAATTCTAATGTTAGTGTAGATTAAGAAATGAAAGAGATTATGAAAATATCTCAATTTTTAACAAAGTTACACATGATAAATCAAAGACATAATTTTTATCGCATTTACCAGAAGGAATTTTGAGAATTTCCAAATAAATTTGAATCGATTTTTTGAGAGCGTTTAATGTTAGAATTACTACGGATTAAGAAATGAAAATATTTCAATTTTTAACAAAGTTATTGAAGAATTTTTTTTTAATGATTTTGCTAAGTTCTTATTAATTTTTAACCCAATATTTTGAGTACATTTACTACTGAAATTAGTATAGTTTAAGAAATTAAGGAAATTATGTAAATATCTTGTTTTGGAGATAATTAGAAACGATAAACGAAAACTATAATTTTAACATAATTTACCAGAAGGAATTTTGAGAATTTCAAAACAAGTTTTAATTAAATTTTTAAGTGCGTTCAATTTTAATATTAGTGTAGATTGAGAAACGAAAGAGATTATGAAAATATCTCAATTTTTAACAAAGTTACACATGGATAAATTAAAGACATAATTTTTACAAAATTTACCAGAAGGAATTTTGAGAATTTCCAAATAAATTTGAAACAATTTTTTTGAGAGCGTTTAATGTTAGAATTACTACGGATTAAGAAATGAAAAGAATTATAAAAATATTTCAACTTTCAACAAAGTTATTGAAGAATATTTTTTTTAATGATTTTGCTAAGTTCTTATTAATTTTTAACCAATTTTTTAAGTACGTTTACTACTGAAATGAGTATAATTTAAGAAATTAAGGGAATTATGTAAATATCTTGTTTTTTGGAGATAATTAGAAACGATTAACGAAAACTATAATTTTAACATAATTTACCAGAAGGAATTTCGGTGATTTAAAAACAAGTTTTAATTAAATTTTTAAGTGCGTTTAATGTTAATATTAGTGTATATTGAGGAATGAAAGAGATTATGAAAATATCTCAATTTTGAAGAAAGTTACAGACCAATAAACACAGTTAAACTGTTCAAATTAGTGCAATTCAGATGAAGAAGAAAGAAAGAAAAAAGAAAAAAAAACTAAGGGATGGTCTGTAAATCAAACGAAAACTAATCGGTTTTCGGGGTCGTCCGTCGTGTTAATTGGATCTCTCGGAAATTTTAATTAGAATTAGAGAGATGAAGATGAAAAAGAAGAAAAAAAGAGGGTGAAAGAGGAGAAGAGTTTCGGTTTCTAATTAGTTTTTTGTTCTCGAGCCGCCCGAAGAAGAAGGAAGGAATGAAAGAGTGAAGAAAACGAGAAGAAATCAGTGTAGAAAGAAACAACAAAGAGATGATATTAATTTATATAAAAGGTTCCGTTTAAGATTTCGTGGTAATTAGTTTTCGGAGGAGTCTGTTAATGTGAGTGTGCGACGGTCGAGGCGAAATAAAAAGAGTAAGAGAAATGGAGTGTTGCGTGTGTAAGAGAGAGATGGTGAGAGAGAGAGAGAGGTGAACGTGCGAGAATCGAGATCGAGAGATGGAGCTACCGGTTTTTTTTTGTTCTTCTCTCTCTCTGTCCATTCCTTTCCGACCCGTAAATTTATTTATATCGGAATGCCGCCCATTTAATAATTTAAATGTTAATTTGTTAATTAATGATACAAATTGCTTTCGTGAAATGCTACAGCAGCATTTCAAGATTTCGTGGCAACAGATGTCGCTCTTTGCAACAACAACAACAATAATAATAATAACAATAACAAATGCGTAACGGCAACCGCCCCGGCTTGCTCATTAAAAGCAAATCGCGAATGCATTGGATAAAGGAGATGGATAGATGCGATGTGACTTTATAAGAGAGAGTGAGAGTGCGTGTGTTCCGTAATTGGGGTTGGTTCGGTTCGGACGATGATGCCCTTTTTCGTAGCGCAGTTTCAGATCGAAGGCGGCGGCGGTTGTCGTTCTCGGAAAGCATCGCGCGCGCTCTCGCTCAACTGTTTTGGCAGCGGAAAAAACAAAAAACAAACGAGAAACAATAATAAGAAACAAAAGAGAGATATATAGAGAGAGAGAGGTGTGCAATGCGGGCACACAAAGTGCGAGAGTCAATCATCATCGCAGCATCGACACTTCTTTTCCATATTAACGGAATACCCGAGATGCTTCCACCTTGCACCCATAAATTCTCAACTTTATGCGTTCCAACCACCACTCACTAAACGACTCAAGAATATGTTATACTAAAATGAAAGAAAAAAAAAAAAGAAACGAAAACCCTTAAGAAAAAAAAATTGGAAAAGTTACGACCAATTTTGAGTGTGTAATTTTCTGTGCTTTCCGAGAAACTAAACTAATTTCCCCACCCTAAATCTACTAAACGATTCAATCTAAATTCCACACAACGAATTATGTAAATGTACCCTATATAATAGATAGATTATGAACGAGCTAACTCAATGCTTATCTTAAAAAAAAAAACAAATGAAGTGTTACGTAAAAACAATCAAGAACGTAAAAACAATTGAATGTTTGAAACAAAAGTGTGATGTTCCTCTTGGTCTGATCTTTAATTATCGAACTTTTGCAAATAAATTGAATGAAAATCGTACTGAGATTAAGTTAAAGTTCAAGAAGTAAAGATGCGCAAGCTCCTCCACTGCGGCAAAGTGGGAACATCGTCGGAGGAGGTTATTTTTTTATTTTTTTTTATCTAATCTCTTTATATATATATATTCTCTGATAATTTTTAATTAAGTCATCTTGAATATTGAATATCAATTGTTAATTTTGTTTTTTGTTTGTTTTTGTTGCTAAGTGGTAACTAAGAGAAGGGTTAAATAAAAGAAGATCGGTTTTTCGGTTTCGTAAATAGTTATTTCATTCATTCATAATTTTTGTCCGTTTTTTTTTTGTTTTCATCAAATTGTTATATATATATATGTGTAGTATATATATATGTTATTTACAATCAATATACAATATAAATAAAATTTGTCCTATGTACAAAATAATAATAATAATATTTATATATATATAATATGTATAGGTTATGTAATAATAATAATAACACGTGATGAGAAGAAGAAGAATAGGAGGAGGAGGGAATTTATGTACATGGGAAACAATTGAATTGAAAGAAAAAGAGATGGAGAAGGAACAAACGAAATGTACATCAGTCTTATGAAACTTTTTCCGAGTTTGAGACTACTACAGAACAGAATGCACGCGATACTTGCCAAGTGCACGTGCATCACTTGAAAAAGAAAAGTCACTTTACAGGAATCACAAAATTTCACTCGATCGAATGCAAAGTGACAAGTATCGGTGTGGTGTGGCGCAGTAGTAGTAGTAGTAGTCATCTTTTGGTGGTACTCGTATGTATGTATGTTTGCATATGTTCGCGAAAATTAAATAATAATTAATGATGATGATGTTGATTTGGTTGCCCGCATCAGTGTGGCATGTTGAGCAGCGCCTCCTGCTGGTTCGCGGCTGCGGCCGCCGCCGCGAAACTGTGGGCGGCGGCGGCGGCGGCCGCGAAATGCGGATGATGATGTGGATGATGGGGATGGTGCGGGGGCGGCCGGTGCGCGATCGCCGCGAGGAACGGTGATATCACGTGACCGGGGGCGCCGCCCGCCGCCGCCGACGGAAACAGACCGAAAGTGGGCGGCAGAAGGGGGCGCGCTGACAAACGAAGCTTCTCCAGTTCCGCTTCCTGCAGCCTCTTCGCCTTCGCCCTTCGATTCTGGAACCATATCTTCACTTGCGTCTCGGTCAATCGGAGGGAACTGGAGAATTCCGCCCGCTCGGCGATGCTCAGGTACTGCTTGTCCCGGAACTTCTTCTCCAACGCCAAAAGTTGTTGAGTGGTGAACGGGGTGCGTGGTTTTCTGTTGGGTTTGTGCTTCCTCAACGCGCATCTGACCATCGGTTGGCCCGGGTTTTGACCGATGTTCGGAAGATTTGCTGGAAAAAACAACAAGCGCACGAACAATTAGTAAACAGTTCAAAGGGAAACTATGGTAACGCTAAAAACAAAAGGAGATGCTTACTTTGCGGGGATGTCGATCTGAGCATCGCGTTGTGTGAGCCGATCCAAGGGCCGAAGGGCCAATGTGAAGCGGCGGCGGCGGCTGCTGCAGCTGCGGCCGCCGACTGTGCGGCCATCATCCTCATCGAGGGATGCAGAGGTTGCGGAACAACAACGTGATGTGATCCCGTCGACGAGTTCGGACTTAAACTGCCGCGACTCTCCAGATCGTCGGTGTCTACGTCGTCGACGGTGATGTCCGCGTCCTCGTCCTCCTCCTCCGGTTCGTCGTCATCGTTACCAACGATAACATCCTCATTGCTGATGCCAAGGTGATGATGAAAGTGCTGATGAAGCCTTCTCCTAGCCTCGACCTCATCCTCGACGTCCTCCTCCCTCTTCACTATACTTATACTATTGTTGTTGTTGTTGTTAATGTTGATGGGCGTCTTCGAGAGGAGAGATTCGACGCTGAACGAGATTTTTGAAGATTTCAAACTCAACTCTGATTTCGTGTCCTCCATCGCACCAACAACGAAAAAACAAAAATAATCAAACAAACAACGGACGCGCACCCAACAAGAATCCAATTATATATCTTTTGTTTTATTTAAAATAATAACACCAACAGTTTGCACTTGGCGCACTTGGATTTAATCACTCGATTGTGTGTTTTCAATTATTTGTTTTTTCTTTTTTCAGCCAACTTTTTTTTTTGTTTTTTTGCGTGCGTGCGTGCGTGCTCACGTTTCGGACGGCTGAAGCGAACTGAAGACTTTTCCGTTCGTGGGGGTCGTCGCAGCCGCTTTCCGATCTTCGATTGTCATATTTCTGGTGGTGGTGGTGGTGGAGGGGTGGGGGGTTGTTACTGGTGATGATGATGATGGTTCGCGTTGGTGGGGGGTGAATAACAAGCGAAACGCGCGCGTCGACTCCGCCCACCTTCTCGTGCCTTCGCATCGGCGGCGGGCGTGTCCTCGACCCCTAAGCCACGCCCTTATTTATTGCCGCTAATTTCGCCGTCGCCTCCTCGAAAATTTCTTAATTATTTTCCTCGCGCTTTATTACATATATATTAAGCAAATAATCGTTTCTGGCGCGCCGAACTTAATTGATCCTCTCTCTCACTCACACTCTGTTCACATTTCTATATATATATGTATATTTCAACGAGGGGCGGCAGATTCGAACCACGCCCACCTCTCGCCGCCCCCGTTTCTCTCTCTCTCGCTCTCACGCATTCGATCCGTCCATCTCTTTATTCGCGATTTATGCAAGCGTACAATAAAATCAATTTAATGCCTATCGTTCAACCGGCTCAGCTCACTCATGAAATCGAATAAATCTCCAAGCCAACAAAACGCCATTTTCATATGTTTCCACCCCCCCAAAAAAAAAACAAAAAATTTTTAATTGTCAAAACCCTTATCGTAATTTGTAAAACGAATCTAGATTGCGTTTTTTTTTTCTGTTGTTGTTGTCGTCGTCATTAAATCATTACTTCTTGCACGCAAAACAAATGAAACTGAATCATGTTTTCAATTGTTCGCCATGACGACATATAAATAAATTCGAAATTATTATTATTGTTATTATTTCTTTAAAGTACAAATGAATTGCATTAATCGAACGAAGGAAGGAAATTATATGAAAAACAATGGAAGGTGAAAAGACAAAAGAATATTCATAACGCTTTTACTTAATTGTTTTTTTCGCTCTTTCTCTCTTACTCTCTCTTGCTTTTTCCGCAATGAAATGAATTAACAATTGTGGGTCGTCAAGGAGACAACATCTGACGTTGGGTGGTGGTTCTCTGTTGGTTTCCAGGGATTTCTTCTTTTTTGGAGGAAATGTTTTGGTTTTGAAAAAGTTAATCATTCGGTGGAGGAGGTGTAAAACGGATAATCCGCATTAGTAAACAAGGGATTACAAGGCGCGCGCGATGCCTACCGGTTGCCATGACGACTGCGTTATTGAAGGGGCGGCGGTTGGCGACAAAAGAAAGTCGACCTCCCGTTGCGAGGACGTTTACCGGATTAAAGTAAAGAAAAGAGAGAAGAAAAGAGAGAGAAACACGAAATCTTCTCAGCTTTTTTGATTGACGTGACAGACAGACAGACAGACAGGACACGACCATCGGGGGTAGAAGGAAAGAAAGAATGGGTGAGAGAGGAACGAGGGATTAGGTAAACCGCACGCGTAAAAAGTCAAGAAGAAGCAACAAAAGATAATAGATAATAGAGATTATCGGGGAGCTGAGAAACGACGGTAACAAGATTACATGAGGATTATGTGGTTTTTTTTGGACAGTGTCACCTCTTCTTCCAGGATTTGCAGCTACTGGATCTACACCGCACTTCTCTGCAATCCTAGGTAGTCAAGTAAATAAATACGGTTGCTATGGGGATGATTATGATGATGAGAGTAAGTAACCATGGAAATGATATTAATTTGCGCTCGCCGTTTAGCGCTCGTTTGGGAAAGTTGATTTTGTTTAGGAAGGGAGAAAGAAGAAGAAGAAGAAGGAATAAGGGCGACGCTTCTGTGTTTGGGCACCGGCCGTGACCGAATAACATCAAGGGGACTAGAGACGACGACGACTATATACTTGATTCTCATATACGTATATATACATGTACACTATATAATATGTTTGAAAAGGTCGCATCTGCTATTCCCTAACGAAATGCAGCATCACCCTCCCGACTTCCAACCCCGAAATAATGAGCTCCTAAACGATTGCTAAATGCCTTTTACATATACTTCACTTCACTCCACTATATTATATTATATTTATTATGCTACAACCATTTCCGAGAGAGAGACCGTGAAATGGCACAAAAACAGCATTCATCTATACTTACGCCATCTATCCACGACCAAAGAACAACGAACAATGCAACACAATGATTAATCACATTACAGACACTCATTCATTCATTCACTCACTCACTTCATTCAAACATTCATTCAACGGAAAATCAAGAGAAGAAAAAAAAAAGTTTCGAAACACAATTTTCCATATATATATTAATTATTTCATCTTTTTAATCGAATTCATCGAAACAAAACACACAAAAACAAAATTGAATCGACTTCCGGTCGCGCTTCTGTCGACTCACGCGAAATTTCCATACAGAGGAACCGCCGAAATAACAAAATAACAATCACCATGACAACAGTTTGTTATCACCAAGGTGATTTTTAAAAGTGCGCGTAATAAAAGAAAAAAGAAGGTAACGTCGGTAAGATGATGATGATGGTAATAAGAGAAAATTAAAAAACTTCTCTCGATTAACGCTACATTAAATTCCATTAATTTCGCGTTAAATCTCGCCTGTTATTACGTTCTCTCTTTAAATTTTTGTAGTTTTTTTTTTTTTTTTTAAAGATTTTCGGTCCATTTAACCTGCAGAAACGGCCGTAAAGATGATCTCGCAAGAATTATGTTAAATTTGTTCTATAATTGAATTTCTTCAAAAAACGAGTGAAAGAAAGTTTTCTGATTAATTTTAACGTTCGTGATAAAGAGTGCGTGGAGACAAACTATGACACATGTCAAAGTGTGAATTTGATTTATCAATTTCTTTACTGTTTTCATGAAGATTTGAAAGTCGAAACGGTGATAAAATAAGCTGAAAGTGACTTAAGTTAAGTAGAAAAAAGAAGTTTAAATCTGTTTGGAGTTTGGTGGGAGATGAGAGCAAATCTTTCCGTTTCGAATTCATTGGAAATTCGATACGGTTAAATGTGATATAGTTTCTCGAAGCGCCACATAATTAGGAAGTATTTATTTAATGAGACGAGATGAGACGTTATTAAAAACACATGTTCAACAATGATGATGCTGATGATTGATGTTGGATTGAAGATTCGAAATTAGCCGCAAATGTGAAGGGAAAAAGGAAACTTTAGCCGAAGAATTTTGGATAGACGACTAACGATCTCTTTAGCAGTTATTTCTTTTGCACCCAATAAGACAGGGAGGAGGAGTGGGTGGAGCAGGAATTAGAAAATAATTGCAGAATATAAAAAAGGAAGGAATGATTTATGGTTGTTTTTTCGGATGGAATTTTTCGTCGAATTATCATTCGAATGCATATAAATTCTCGAGATAAAAACTAGAGCAGAGATTCAATAATCTTGAAAGAAAAAAAAACAAACAAACGGAAAGAAGTTGAAATAGAAAATTAGTCAATTAACAATTAATCATGTTTATTAATTAAGAAGCGTGCGTAACAGAGAGAAAAGAGGAGATAACGATGACCCCACCATCTCGTGACCGGTCACATCAACTCGTTACAAAAAAAAACACAAAACAACGATTAGATTAGACGCGCACTACGATGTTTACATTTACGATTTTTGTTTTAAACGTTGAGAGGGTGAACTTTTGTTTCGGCTGCGTTCTTCTTTTTTTTTTCTTTTTGTTGTGCCCTTAAAACAAGTGATTAAACATGGCGGCGACCGTTGTACTACAACCCCCGTCTTTTGTTTCACTGAAATCGCATTACCTGTCGATTGTAAATCTCTTGTTTTTTTTTTCCACCCTCTTTCTCTAACACACGCTCTCTTATGTTTGCGTTGCTAGGTTACTTAACTCGATATTTATGTTTCCCTCTCATCATCGTCATTAGACCCCATCAATTCCCCAAACATCTCTCCTTGGTTACCAAACAAAAATGAAAAGCGCCGCCGCCAACTCACAACCATATTGCCTTCTTTTTTTTTTCTTTTTTTTTTTCGTTCACCCTCTCTCCTACTACTTACACACTAATGCGAAAAGGGCATTATTAGAATATTATTAATGCACTCTATTATTAACTCCTAACGCGTTTCAACAGAAATCCCTCTTTTCAACTCTGGTATAAAAATGTTATTGTATTTTGAGTTGAGCATTCAGAGTCGACTTTGCAGAATGGAATTATTACGTTTTTACGAGATCGCATATTAATAATAATAAACGAGAGCTTAATTAATTCTGAACTGTCGAAGTGTCACCTTTGTGTCCGTGTGCTGTGAAAAGCTCGTAGACCTTAATGGGACCGCGAGAAGAATGAGGTGGAAAAGGTATGAAAAGATCTATAAAATTTTTATTAGCGTGACATTTCTTTTTTTCGGGTGCGGACAAAGAGTGCAGAGTTTTGAGAGAGTTTTTGAGAAGAAGAAACCTGAAAATGGGACAAATTTTTAATGCCTTTTAGTGCGTTCATTCTTTGCAAACACATCGAAAAAGTGCCAAGAAGAAAGAAAAGGTGATTTGGAGCGATGCAAACACACTCGACTCGACTCGACCTTCTTTATCTCTTCGTTCGCATTCTCGAGTACTTAAAACTACTTAAAACCTAACTTGAGTCACGTTTCAACGCCCGCAAATCGTAAGAAAAAATCTACACGAAAGAGAGATCAAGTCAATCGAAATTCGATTAATATTGAAAATAAATCATTTTTTTAATGACTTAAGTAAAATTTCACTGTTCAAGATCGTTGAAATTCTCTGAAAACAATAGATAAATATAGTGTTAATTAATTAAGTCGCTTATGAAACTTATCTTCTTTTTTTTTGTCTTCCTCAAACATTTACGTTTCCATGGAAATCTGTAAAAGAAAACAACAATTAGACAAATAATTGAATTTCGTTCGCATTCTCGAGTA